TTTGTAAGGTTAAGCTCGTTTTACAAATTGGAAGTCATGGCAGCCATGTTGGATTGTAAATATATCAAAAATAAATAGTAGGATTTGGGATTTACATGTACATGTATTTATAAATATTAACATTTCCTTTGCACAGTCCTTAAATAAACATACCAACAAAACAAATGTTGCTAGTATGCAATAACAGCAAATATGATCAAATATGAATGTATGAAACTTTTTGAAAAGTCGAGGACCAATCATGACGTGACGTCATATTCAAATAATTTTGACGGAAAATCCCGAATGATTTCCGGTTGGCGTTCTCTGCCTGACGGAACTGGTAACCGTAGAAAACCCGATCTTGTAAAACATATTGTTTAAAATGTGCTTTGAACCACATTAAATGATAGGATAATATTGGCTTTGTTGTTTACAAAGGAAAATATAAAAGATTTGAGATTAAAACGTCAATAGAAGCAGCATTGTGTAGGGTGAAATATCGTGTGAATGTGATCACGTGCACGTCCATAACATACTTGACAGGTTTCCTCCATTCCATACTTATAACTTTCAAAACCGAAGTGTTAATAAGCGTCACGGAGATAAGCAATTTCGCTACCATTATAAGAACATCACAATAGTCAATGAGTAGAGTCGGTTATATGTTTTACATCTGATGGTGGGCTATTCAAATCACCCTGCGTCCGTGGTCCGTCCGTCCGTCGTCCGTCCTTAAACAATTCTTGTTATCGATATTTCTCCAGAACTATCAAGGGGATCTTTCTCAAAAAAATTTTATGTATGTTTCCCTTGCTCCCTAGTTTTGCAGCGCAACTTTTGAAACTGAATCTTTGATTTTGACAGTTAAGGTTAGTTAGTGCTATTTCCCTGGAAGTACTGGAGGGTTCTTTCTCAAATTCTATATGCAGGTTCCCCACTTTCCTTTATTGTTCATGTCTACTTATGCAACTGATCAGTTAAACAAAATGGCCTACCGACAGAAATCTTCGATTTTTAACAATTGAAGTTTTGTAAGTACTATTTCTCAGGAATAACTTGAGGGATCTTTCTCAAATTTCATATGTAGGTTTCCCTTGATCCCTCGTTGTGCATGTTATATTTTGAGACTGATTATAAAAACAAAATGGGTAAAGGAAGAACTAAACAGATATTTCTCATATTGCAATGATCGATTCTATTTCTTTCACATTAAGTACTGTACTAGTAAATATGTGAAATGACAAACTCTGTTTGAAGGTCGGCTTTCATACACATCAGTATTAAGTTTAGATCAAAAGTTACCTCAATGTGCATTTACTGTTAACATGACTCGATCAAACAGATTAGAGGAAAGAAGAGAAAAGATCAAACTGGAAAGAAACTAATGAAGATGGTACAATGGTGGGCGCCAAGATCCCTCTGGGATCTCTTGTATATATTTATAGTTATTTTTGCGCAGATTAACCTACTACTATTTTACAAGAGGAAAATTAGGCAAAAGACATGCCTGGTTACTGTTCAAGAGACACGACTTGTAAATGAAATCCGGCCACATGGTGTACGGAAGAAAATATTATACATTACATGTAAGAAAATAATATAAAAAAGTGTAGGACCAACTAAACAAATACAAAAACATGCACATATTATGAATTTATTGCGACTTATGGTTCAGTCTATAATGGCGACACACGAGTAAAGTAATTTTGTTATGAACCACTTATTAATGTACACATCCATACAATGTTTTCATACTAAGGATCCTCATACAACTGTTACACACTGTATCTCCACATTGAAAACATTTTTTGCTCGCATGACTATACCTTTGATAAATCATTTCTGAAAAGAAAACCATTCGGGGACTTTTACGGAAAACAATAAAGATGAAATAAACACAATATGATACACAATAGCTAGCCTGGGATTCGAACCCTTAACTTAAGGTTGTAATACTATCGCACTAGCTGTCTGAGCTTCCTGGTCCACGGTAGTGTCCTGGCCCAACTTTGCTGCAGCTATGTCCAAAACGAAATTAAGGGGTTGTTACAGCATATACGTAAAACACGGAGTGGTGGCATCCTTAAACTGGAAACAAACTATCTTCTTCTTCTTAGGTTAAAGAGGAGAAATAAAAGAGATTCAGATTTGGAAATATAACACTCTTTAGTCAATGTACTAACATACCTGACCTAAAAAGCGCCTCATCCCTTACAAATGCCCTTTATAATTTGTTTTCAATTGTTCTACTTGTAAGAAAAACAGTAGGGGAGATACATAAAATCTCGACAATAAGCCAAAGAAGTCTTACTGTTGAAGTCAGTTACATTGTAAGTATTTTAAAGTTCTTGCATGGAAAAATATAAGGCTATACAGTTTTTATCGAAATTGAATGGTTTTTTATGAATTTATTACAATGATAAATCATGTCATGTGATGGGACAGGACATTTTCAAAGAACCCCCTTTTTTAGTTATGTTTGACTGCATGGAATAAAAGGCATATTTGCAAGACCGACTTGTTGCAATTCAGGCTTATCAAGAATTTAGGGTATATATAAGATTTTGCATGTTTTTCTTATAGTCTAATTGGCACAAATTGTTAAGTGCCTTGTAAGCTTTTTAGGTCGAATTCGGTACATATTTATTCTTCATCATACACAGATACACAGATTTTATTCTGACTGTAGGACTTAAAAACAAATTCACTGCTGACAGCTCAATACGGTTTGAACAAATTCTGATAGGAGCATGGGTATTTGAATAACATTAATCATAAATAGTTCAGGTGAAAAAAAGTGAATTATACATAAATTTCCAATTAGAGTGATTAGTGTACATCATTAATTTGACAATTGATTATCAGAAAGTATATTCAGCTCATACATTTAACTACGGGTGGATACTAAAATTGGTTCTCTATAATTATAGAGTATCGGTTGGTTTCTCCATATTGTAACGTCATAATTGCATATTCATCCAACACACATACTTACATATATACCACTAAAATCCATCAATAAAACAAATGTTCTTGAAGCTATTTGTCAATAGACATAAAGGTGACATGATGATGAACTCAATATGAGCCAATAAGAAATTGACATTGTCAAAATAATGATTAAACAAACAGTATATATCATTAACAATTACGCGAGCATACTAATAGTCCACTTGATTAACAACTTTGTAGAGTGTGAAGAAAAGGGCACATGATAGTGCAGAATGGTTTTGTCACGTTCGCTTAAAATATAAAAAGTAGAAGGTAATTTGGTAATGGTGTATTAAGAATCATGCAAATCATAAATTTGCTGAAACGGTTTGTTGAAAAAAAATCCTTTTGTCTGACAACGGATGAGTTCCGTACACACACCAAGCAAACAGAACAAGAATATTTTCAACACAGTTTCGTCAAATATCATTTTTTAAATTGTTCTGAATACAACATTATCAAGTTATCCTCATCTGGCTTTGTTTTGAATTTTGAGTTTTTTAAGCCTAAAACAAACTCCCTACAAAGCTATGTGCCCAGAGAAAAAGCACACCTCAAATTAACTCTTTCACTTCTTAAAACAGTTTACTCATTTCACTAAATTCAGAAATACTTCCTCAAGTTACCAATATATCTTATATAAAAGATGTCTTAATTTCTCTGCAAAAGTAATCCATATCAACCTAACCTCACTTTAATTTTACTTGTCGAAGATAGAATTTCGTCAAATGCAAATTATATCCGATTTGATCGAGCTTTATAAATAAGTGAAGGTTAACGATAAATACAAGTAAGAGGCGTCTAACAGCATTACCAATACGTAGCGTTGTATAAAATTACAACCTATCACTTAAAGTCAAATCAATATATACGTAAAACTGTGTAAATCAAAAACGTTGAATATGTAGAGGAGATATCTGTACTTCATTTCAGCACATACAATCTTAAGTATATCAGAAACATAAAAAAGAAAGACACATAATTTATAACCATTGCCGTATTACACAGGTTTTAACTAAAACAAATCATACTTCTTTATCGACGCAAGTATTCAATTCAACTGGAAAATAGCATTTCAATCCATAATTCAACCAATTGTTCTCGGTAATATTGAATATAGATCTCAAAGATTGTAGTTAAATTTTAGTTTAACCTCCATAATCGCTAGTCACTTTAGTAACCTCCATTCCTGGTTGCTCATGTCTTGAATCTTTTGACAGTGGAAAGCAGATAGAGTTTCGCAACCTGCATACAGTCACCACGCTTATACTTGAAACATCTTTATGCTGATAATATCATTTCAAAACGTCGTGAGATTGATAGTATCAAACTTATATTTGATTTCAACAGTTTTTTTGTGACATTTCAAATATATATATCTGTAAATATTATTATATCACCAACTCAATAAAAACTTAATAGATTTTATAAATATGTCTCATGGTGATGAACAAAGCTGATTTGCATCAATTATTTAAAAGAAAAATTAATTAATTTTGTTAATAGGTAATTGCATCGATAAATATTATGAACGATTTGCAGATCGAAAGATTTGCTAAAAGACAACTCGTGACGTCAAACGCCAAACATAGTTGATATCAAAAACGAATACGATTGAAGATACTCTCGCATATAATGATATTGTGTAGGCTTTGTAAATAATATTCCAAACAAGTATCATGCAACGATGCAAAAAATCCATTTCCCTGTACCTTCAGCTTTTCAAAATGGAGTTTAACTATGCTCCCAAAAACAATTAAAATATAATGCTAATTAATCAGAAACTAAAACGCTTCTGATTTGAAACTCAACCCGGTAGGGCTTTATGTACGTTTGTCAGCAATATAAATGTGTGTTATAGGACCATAACAATATTTGCTAAAATATTCATTATTTATATTTACATTTTGATAGAGTAGTTGTGTTTTATTTAGTTAATTCGAACAGTTTTTGAACAGCAAATCAAGTGTTGATAACAATAAAATTGATGGCGTCACAATAGAGATTGATGACGTTACAATATCAAATGTTGTTATAGTCCCATAACAACATTTGTCTCCGCAATGCATTATAATGGAAGGATGCAGACAAATGTAAATATATGACCATAGACAGATCAGAGGGCCAGAAATAGTCATGAGCCTATCGTATTCGATACCTACTCTGTTTAACATGTATGTCGACTTTAACTTACTAATGTACTTCCTTGAACAGCCGGTTCCTTTTGTTATATACTGAGGCACTGTCATCAACAAAAAGTAAATTTATCTAAAACAGGTTTTGTTTTTTCAAATACAAAGAACACTTATTAAAACTCCGTCATTCAGACGTCGATTTGTTATTATTATTATTATGTTTAGACATTTTCCCTATAAACTATCATATGAAAAATGGTAAACAAATCCGTGTGTTTTAATTATCATTGGATATATCCACCATTATGAACCCAAAGAAAATATCTGTACAAGATAATCAACTTTCTTTGTCCACGTACGTGTCAGTAGAACGCTGTTTTCCGAATATGCATTGCTAATGAATCTGGTTTATCATTATTATTAGTAATCTTATTAGTATATGCGCTATATTATTCATGTTCAAAAGTGCACTTTTATACCATTATAAGAACGATGGTTCATGTTTTGTTTCAAAACATTATGTAGACCATAATTCAAATGAGATTTTACACAGACAATAAGTTGCACACTTTTTAACAAAATGTAAAAAAGATTACTTATGATTACTACCTTAACTTGTCCGAACAATTTCAGAATATGAAAGAATCAATTCAAGAATTAATGTCTACTATGCTTGCTTAATACAATTACGAAGATTCGATTAAACTGGCTGCCTCCTCTGCTTCTGTTACGGTTAGCACACCATTTCGTTTTGTTAAAGTAGATTGCATTGGATCGTTGCTTGGATTAGTCAATTCATGTTCCTCGCGAACATACTTCCTTGAGTCATCGACGTCGTCTAGCTGCTGATCGTGTGTGACAATATATGTGACGTCAGTCTTTGTTTCTGTCGCTTTGTAGTTCCGGCAGGGGAAGATCATGATGCCCGCGCTGAGTATCATCAACACTCCCGCCAAAACAAAAGCAGCGTCATACGCTTTCAACGTATCGAATAGAACACCTGAAATATGATCCAATTACCGTAAGTATAAAAAAGATTGTGTTATTTATTAATACACAAACATAAAAACAAAACATATATATTACTTTTAAAGTAGTAGTTGAGTGACCAAATACGGTTGTGTAACATCGCTAAAACTAGTTTGACATTACTCATGTAATTTATTAAATTACACAGGTGGTAAAAAATTGATTAAAATTATTCAATTGAACACGTGTGCATTTGATGTCTTAAATTGCAAGACTTGTGCGTATGGATGAATTTCACGAGGGTTGAGCTCAAGTGTATAGTGTACAGTGTTATAGAAGTGTGTATTTTGAGACATTTTTTGGTCACATACCTGCTAAAACCGGACCGAAAAGCATTCCAATCGCCTGGCCGAATAGAATGATTCCATAAGCCAATGTGAACTGGTCTACTCCTGACATTTCTATCAGAATCGCAGGGATAAGAGAACCTCCACAGGAAGCATAGCTAGCCCCAAACAAAAAGGAAAACACAACAAGGCCGGCGTATCCGATGTCTATAAGTAGAAAGACAATTGTGGACACTCCCCCAAGACTATACCAAAATATATACTGCTGGTAGGGTTGGAACAACCTCCACCTGGGGTACTGAATCACGATTCCTTGGCCAACTTTGAAAAACATTACTGTTATTCCAATAATGGAATATAACATGGAGGCATATACTTTGTCAAACTTCAGCTGCCGACTAACATACGTTCCTAAATGTCCGTATATTATTGTAGCACCTAGTTGATACAAAATATTATTTAGACCAAGAACATAAAAATCGCTTAATTTTAAAAATGTCCAAACATTTTTCTTTCTTTCTGTTTCTTTCTTCTCTGCGATTGGCTGCTCCTGGTCCGACACCTCGTCGTTGTTGTTGTTAGGTGACGTCACAGGTCGGTAAAGTAAGGCAAAAACACACATGTTTAAGGATATTCCAGATAAAATCATGAACATGCCCTTCCAAGAATATTTATCATTCAGGTAGTTGATGATTGGTGGAAAGGCAAATGCTCCAACCCCACCCCCTGCTGCAGCAACACCCATTGCGATATTCCTCCGTTTGGTGAAATATCTTGCGACTGCTACACTACCTGGTATAAATGTGAGTCCGCATCCGATTCCTGTAAAGATAGTAAATCAAATAATGCCGGTATGGGGAATAACTCTTGTTTATTTCCTCGTCTGCATCTGCTATGGCAACCTGATAGAATCCAAACAAATACGTTTTAAGTTGAAAATGATGATCTCAAGACCAATGATGAAAAATTCGTATAACCATGGTTCAAATCGGTTTTCCGGATTGTTGTATTTCTTAGTAGTAAGAACGTTTGAACAAGTCTCCAAACAATCCAGTTTTACCGTGGATTACCATTCATGACATGATATTTTTCCGCCTTTCTTTTAATGTAGTTTAAGTACATTTATTTCAAAATATAATTGAGCTATCGACTTCTGCAAAACTTCGGACAAATATATTTATTAGCCGAATTGGAAGTTTGAAAAACTCTGCGAAAAGATTCTCAACAAGCAGGATCAAACATCTGTTACCTATCTGATAAAGTAAGGAGTACAGTAAAAACAAGTTTTGGAATTGTTTTATATTATTATTTTGTGAACAGCAAAGCGTTTACCAAATGATTTTGTTCACGATATCACGATTTATGTTTAATAAAGAAACCGACTGTCCGGAATTTACAAGTTCAAACCACGGCTATAAGTGTTCGTAAAACCAAATAATAATAAATAAGTAAATAAACAAACAAACAACTAAACAAAACAAAAAAAAAATAATTAAAAATTCCCTCAATTAATATGCGAGCATGAACGATCCACATTCACGATAGCATTCAAAATCAACATTACATAATTTTGGCACTCTGTTACTGCACGAAATGTTTAAAAATAATCAACTTCATATCTTCACAACTATCACGAGTTCGCGTGATACCATTGATGTAATTCATATCATTTGTTTAAAAATTTACCAAATAGAAAAAAACTCTCATGGAATTTTTGGAAAAAGCTTGCATGCAAAAGATAAATCATGGTAAAAATGAACTGCATCATAGAGCTGTATCGTCTTTCTAGCATTCATCGTTAAATCCAAATTTGTCAGAACTATTGTTGAAACAGAAGAGGAGGTACGTAGTATCTATTACATTTTATGAATTTTATAATTAAAATTAAATCACTTTATAGAATAGCAGGAACATATAGCGTAGAGTACCTGTCTCATTAATTTTAGGTATTTTGTGAAAACATCTGTTGATAAGGATATATATTACCTGAATATGATAAGAATTTCATGTCGTAAAGAGTTCAACATTTAGCTTGTTCAGAATATCACTTTTTAAATGTAACTTGATGACTCTTAAGAAAGATAACCCACAATACACGAATCCATATTCCAAACTATCAGAAAACACTTACATGTATTTTAAAATATAGTAACAGGTAGACAGTTCTAACACAACTCACCTGAACACGGTGCAATTCAGTAAAACCTCGATATAATGCCCTTCTTCCGTTTTCCACCTCGTTTACTACCAGAATATTTCAATGTCCCCTTTTTAATTTTGTTAACCATACTTTGATGTGAATCCCTCGTAGTACGGCCAGACACCTTTATAATGTCAAAATTGCGACGGATTCATGGTTGCAATGCAACGAGGTTTTACTACGCCCTAATACACACATATTGCTATCGATATCGCCAAAACATCAAATACAAACATTCTATTACATTAATCATAAAGTTATACGGATACGAACCATTGAATCGGGGTCTTCCCTGAACACCAACTCTGCTTAAAATCACATGTTTACATAGATGGCCAGTTGTGATGATAGTGAGTTATAGTCTATTGCAGAAATGGTGTACAGGTAAATTGCACAGGTAAATAAACTTCTGATAAGTAATCAGATAATCAGTAACTGCTAATAATTGCAAAATAATAATTAATATTTAGAACAGTTTTCAGAATCAGTCATATATTTATTATGATATATAAGTTAAACCTGTCTTTTCAGATTTGTGTGAATTCTCTTATAATTATTGTCATATATTAGTTAAACTTGTACTTCTTTTCAGGTTTCTATGAATTGTGTTTATCTTGTGTTTTTCATATAATGTAATGTTATTTTTCTTTTTCATATAATGTAAAAATTCTTATTTTATGATTATTTTCTATTACTTAGTGCTGTATTAAATGTGTATTACACTTATATGTAGGAAATACAAACTTTTTCTCCATTTTATTATTGACTTTAGTATCATATCTACAAAATGAGTTGACATTCTTAGTTTAAACAGGCTATAACTAAACTTCAAAGGATTTCCTATATAAACACCTTCCTTTCAATTCTCCAGAGTTTGTGTTCGGGGAATGAACCAATGAATCATAAACTGTACACCGGGAAAATTTCGCCCAGTCAAACTTCCGCCCTTCGCACAAGAAATCAATTTTCGCCCAGTGTTGATTTCGCCCTTCACATCTAATTACATAGAATAATATGTTGTTTGCCCTCCGTAGGCCAAAAGTAATCTGCGGCGAAAAATTCCCAGTATACAGTACATATAACTGACATTCACAAAATCAATACTTTGCTTAGTGTGTATTAAATACTCTTCTGTCACACTATGTTTTACTTATCGATATATATTTTCTACTGTTGGTTTCCTATCGGGCGGTACTCGATCGATGTGTTATCCGAGTGAACAAGAATGATAAGGGCGAGGGTGTTCTGAGCGTACAACTGCAACAGCACAAGAACATGATTCGAACCCTGAACCTCTATGCAACATACTGTCGCTGTAACCATCTGAGCTACCTGGTTAGCAGCTACCCCCAAAACGAAATGCAAGGGAAGTTTCTGTATGTATGAAAAGTATGTTGGAACTATGTATTCATTAAATGTTGCGAAGTGTATATAAAAAAAAAATACTACGTAAGTAAGTAAGTATCATAAAACTAAGAATTACCTTTGACAAGTGCAAAATTTGATATTTAAAATCGCCAAGTGCGGAAATGGTGTGTTAAGGGTCCCTGTCCCAAGGAAATTTACCTTTCCTAAATTTAGTTTTCGAATAACTGTAGCACAGTTAATCTAGCCCTACTTCGTTGACCGTAATTCGTTAGATAAGATGTAAGCCTTATGTTATCAATGAAATCACAATGAACGATATTGATACCTCAAATGGTTTGATCTAAGTCAAATATGACCGCATTTGTATGATACGTCAATGTGACGTCATCTTTTCAATTTGTGATGGGCGCCACGCTTGTTTAGTTCAAAAGTTTACATCGATATGATGAAAACAATTTATGTATCAATTACATCTATGTAATGAGTAGTGGTTTTAAAAAAATATATTAGTACCCATGACAAATATCGTTATTAATCCAACTGTATTTCCTCTTTTAGAGTTTTCGAAATTGTCACTAAAAAGTATTTAAGAATTGCATTTTAAAACTTACAACATCTGGTAAATCATTTCTCATATATGACGTCATACTGTAAAAGTATAAATTTTCGCGGTGTGGAAATACCCACGTTTTTTTCGGTTTTGTTTCTTTTTTCTTTTTTGCCTGGAGTAAAACAATATTTATGCATCATATGCAATTATCATATACAATTACTAGAAAATCCTAGAACAAATCTCCGATGCAAAACTGTTGGTCACTGATCTCCTCAGATCAAGTGTTACCAACGACGTTTTCCGTATAATTCCGTGAAATTACAAATGTAGCAAATGCATGCAGTTTCCGTTTGTTTGTTTCTCATTTATACATGTACACCTATCATTTATATGAAGCGTTAAGCTACAGTGCGCTGGGTGTAATATGGTATTTATTGTGCTGATATATATTTCATTAATGATGTACATTCGTTGGAACTGTTTGAGTTCGAACAGACGCCATAACTTCAGTTGATACATTACCATCATCGCCACTGGTGTCAATGCCGACCGGGAATGGAAGCCTACATACCAATGACTGGCATCAAATCCAGGACGCGGCTTGTTTTCACCTACATTCTGCTGTAAAGGAAATCAGGTAAAGTCTTATTAATAAAGGGGTTTTATCAGTTGGGTCTGAAATAGAACATCAATTAGTTGAATACACATCACATGTATTCGCCTCCAACCACTCTTGTAACAGGATTTGATGTTTCGTCGAATTATCTTTACCTGTGATGACGCCGTAACATAAGGTCAAGACTGGTAGACTTGCAGCAAATGAACTCGCCATAAGGCCACAAGATGCCACGATGCCGCCGACGAGTGCCACGTTCCTCATACCAAACCGATTCACCAATACACCCGATACAGGACCTGAAAGACATACATAATGGGATTAATTAATAAATTATTTCTTTTACAATGAAATAGACAGTACACCTTAATGTATTTGCACTATCGCTATTTGTTCGACAGATTTATAGTGCTTTCTCAAACACTTCAAGTTGCAGTATCGTGATCATCAATATAGAAGAGAAGCATACATAAGAAGATTTTATTTGTAGATGCAAGAAGGGGTTTAAAATATCACGATTTTGTGTTCGGAACTTGTTCGCGGCTGTCAAATTTCGCGAATCACAGATTTGCAAGTTTATTTCGGAACATCTCGCAAAATACAAAAACTTAAGCAGGACAAAGAAATGCTGAAAAAGGTCTTTCTCACTAGCCGGGATTAAAACTGTACAAATTTCTTTGTTATGCTCAAGTGTATGAGTAATCGTACTTATTAATGCCTTCAGGGCTTATAGTAGGCATTTATGGTTTCGTTTTGATCCAAAATATAATTAAACTGATGGATTTATCTTAAGTATATGACTAATTTTTAATTTCAACTCATCTATTAACTTTTTTTATTATGTATTTCTTTCGAAACGATGTTTTGACCTACTAGCCTCAGGTTAACTGTTATCATTGACGTGTGAATCGTGGATGTCATGGAGACATCCTCAAAACAATCACGAGGGTTTTAATTTCGCGAATTTTAACGCACTCGCGAAATTCGCGAAATTAAAACCCTCATGAATATGAGCAACTATACAGTACTATATATAATTGCCATGTATATTTTACCTTATACTCTGATAGTATGAATGATTGGAAGATCTATTATAAACTTGATAGAACAGATGTATTAAGATTTGGTAAATGTCCAATTACAGATACTATTGTGTATGTTTCTATTTTGATAGTGTCAAACATCCTATTTCATAAACGTCACTAATGTGCACCTGTCAAAATAAAAAGGTCACCCCGAAACATGATGTTTAGACTACGTGTGACGGTATTGTACTGGCACACTGACATATGGTCTATTTTTAACTTGAACAGTTCTGTTCTGATTTAAGTGCATTTTTTGCATTCACTTTGTTTTTATTGTTCATTGGATCGTTCATTAGATCAAACTAAAATTTCCTATCAAATGTAAGATAACGTTTATTAGTGGAATATTTTATAGATTGTATAATTTTCCAAATAACAATGCATCCACATCAACGTTTAGTTCTCAAACTGTTTTTGATATTGTTCTTAATTCTATTTTAAGAGCAAAATAAGCTTTGAAGGCATTCACGGGGTTATAAAATGAGCATGAGTCAATTGATAAAAATACAAGAAAGTCATAAACAGTTAAAGACGCCTTCAAACCAGTGATTAATGGTTGTGTACATGAAACCTAACAAATGATTAATTGACGACAATTTATGCAATGTCTAGCTTGGGAATATTAAAAGTAATTAATTACTGTTTTAAATGAAAGCAAATCTCTTTACAATTAGGTATGATCCCCTACCACTGCCAAAATCAATTACTACGCGTTTGAAAGTAATTTTCTCAGAATGAAAATAGCTCTGATAAATCATTTCTGAAACGAAAACAATACCTTGCGGGAATTCTATGAAAAAGTTAGATAGAGATGAAATAAACAATACAACTAACAACGGTGGTCTGAGTATAAAACATCCAGGATCCGAACCCTGGACCTCAAGGTATTAACTGTATATCTAAACAACTGAGGTATAGTGGACCTGTTCAAGTACATTCGGCCTATTGTGATACATATATGACCAACTACAGTGGAACTGTCTAGTGTTTTGTCTGCAGTTGGAGACTGATCCTTAACAAACATCAGTTTAAACACAGAATGTTTTGGTAAGTTATTGTTCATTCTTCGATTTTTATACTAATGCGTTGCTCACTTCGTGATTGAATTAGAATGGAAACTGTTCAAGAGCATAATAATGACACATTACAATTACATATATTATATGTAATAACAAGAATTGCCAACCAAAACCTTTGACCAAAGACCTTGATAAAACAAATCTGTTATTTACTAATTTGTAAAAAAACAAATATTATTTCGTCGATAAATAAACTGATATGTCAATGCAAGTCTTTATAACTTTCATCTTATCTTTAATGGTGTTTTGCTAATCATACTCACATGTTGCGAATGTAGCTGCTGTGATGACAGAAGCAACCCATGACGTCTCAGCCCTACTCTTTCCGAACACGTCCAATATAACGTAGTACACAATACCGGAAGTGTACGAGTTGCCATACACGATGATCCGAATACAGGCAGCTGCTACGACGACTACCCAAGCCCAAGCTCCGTCCGTTTTTTCCATCTTCGCTTTGTTGTGTCTTATTTCACTATCGTATTACCATCTGCAGTATAATAAAATTGTATCAGTTCACATTTTTCTTTTATACTTTGAATAAGAGTATCACTTAAGAGGTTGATCTTGATGTATCCTTCTGACAGCAATGATGAGCAGGAACAGAGCAAAACATAACAGGTAGACAATGTGAAATGTAAACCAAATAAATGCATCAGGTGATGGTGATACGCCTGCCACATACACGTGGACTTTGACCTAAAAATATTTCCTCACTTGTGGTAACAATAGATAACAGCACGTGACGTTGTCGTGAGAGAGCTGGCTATACAATGTCCTAGATTTTTGCCATGACCCATATATGGTCACATAAATCCCACAAGGTCCTGGGAACAAATTAAGAGAGGTATGTGTACACCTATTCTGATGTGAAGGGAGCACGTAATTTTTGACATTCTAGTGATTAAGATTAACCTTTGGCCATAATGCGCCTATTAGTGCTGGTATATGCTAAAAGATGTACAAAACAAGAAATAAAAAGCTCGCTATCGTTGGAAAGATATATAATTTCCTCCTTTCAATAGCCTGCTAAATACAGACACAGTGTGTTTTCCGCATGCATGTCTGCCTTTCAAATTGCAACTTTTTGCATGAATGATAAATCGTCTGATATCACTCCTTATACTCATTATCAAGATTAAACCAAACAAACATCCTTTAGTTTTATTCTCGTGTCCGTGTTGTGATTCTCACCACCTGTCACAACCATTTCAATTCTTTTCGGGGAAACCGGATCTTGTATATTGTATAAAAAGTATCACATTGGCTCTAGCTGGGGACGAATGTGACTGAGTTAACGTGGCTTGACTGCTGGTAAACATATCTAGAGCGATAGAGTAGCAACTATTCATATAATAATAATATTAATATCACTGTACGTTCGCCAGTGAGCAATCATTAAGTCCTTTTCTCCATTGCTACGAAGAGGTTTTCAAGTCTGTTAAGCCATCTCCCATCTGGGGCCGGCACTCGACTTGTCGACATCCAAATCAAATGGTGGACACGCTGGGAGTTTATCCATGGTTTTCCTCGTCGCCAAATGTGTTAACGACTCTGATGATAGCCGATACATTTCAAAGTAGATTCATAGATGGCGAACACACAACTCCGAAGACCATGCTGGTTATTACATTACTAACTTTATTAGTGAAGAGTTACTTCCGGTGTTCCGGTTGGGTACATACTTAAGTACTGATTATATAAGATGGACATTCCAATTACCATCATTTTTTGAGCGCTAGCGAAGAAAACCAATTAATTTAAATACAGTGAGTTCCCCGTAATTTCATGATAACAATATACTACATATACGGTGTTTGTGGGACTTTATTCAACAAAATTCGGCTGTATAAATAAACATTTAATGACACATATCCACAAAAAACTGATGAGGAGTATATTGCTTTCTGTCCTGACTGTCAGACACAGAAAATATTATATCACTATTGGGTTTTGCCTATAACAGGGTTGAGTATGCATCTTCGAAACAGGAAATAAATTCTTGCACTTAGACATAGATTTTTTTTTCGCCCTTTCAAATCACTGATGATGAGTACTTAAAAGAACAACAACTGGACATGTTAGAGTAGTCATTGAAATGACCTTCACTTAGTATACGAAAATAATATCTCATATTGAGATACAAGTATATTTGATATCAAATTTAAAGCTGCGAATCGGATGCTTTCGATATGGTAAAATTGATTTGTATCTCATTGATATATATCCTAAACCTGTGATAAGGATTGATTTCCACCTATCTTTTCCTTATAAGCCTGATATAAAACAGTTGGTTACTTGAAATGATATATATATATATATATATATATATATATGATAACATTACAGGAGCACGTACAATTCTACAAGTTCTATAGTCTATAACGGGTGATTGTCGCTTTCACTAAGCACACAGCAATCTCCGTTTTTACCGATTTATGAAACTGTTTGTGATAAGGTTGTACACATAAGTGACGTAACATTCTAGTTTAAATGTTTTCGTTGAAATATCATTTTAACCTTAACATGACTCCACAATATGTTAAGTTGTGTAAATAGTGGGATTGAGCGAGGTCCCGTGTATGCCTTTTCAAACATTATGATATATTGGCGCCGTGGTATACCTTTAATATTCAGCTGGAAATATTGTACATTTCTTTTTCAAATTCATTGCTTCGTTCTTAGTCATTGATTGCTATTGAAATTACATATTGTGAGAAGATATGCGATAAGTCACCAATTTGTTATTGAAACGCAAGATGAACGTTACACTCACAGGTGATTTCGCCTTTGAAATTTGGTAATGGGTTTTACACGTTCTCAACTACGCCTTTGCAATCTGAATAAGGACCTGCACAAATTGAAATTTTAATCCAAAGTTAAACATTTGTGAGCATTCGATACGTGATCAGTGTTCATAAGTAGAACTGTTTCGGTGAACACGGATTTATTAGGCGACAGGGACTTGCATGTCAAAAGTTGCTTACGGTTTTCAAAATTAGCAAATCGCACACCACAAATTATGAGGAAAGTTTCAAAAAATTATTTGCAAAAAACATTATTACTTTGCATAAAAGAACTATATTGACGCTCAATGTAACTAAATAAGAATTGTGATAATTTGCTTAGAAAAAAGAAAAAAAAGTTGATTTACGCATCAATTATTTTTTCAAGCATAGTTGTGTTATCTAAGTCAAGAAGATTAGGAAACATTCACAATATATCAATGATATTGTAACGAATGAAATACATTTCCTGCACACATTCTAAACTTCGATTGTGCTACCTGAGTCATTGGTGTTTATATATTTGTAATAGTTCTCATCATTATACAATGTAGCATTGCATGTCCGTTATGTTTCCAAGAAGAAATTGCACCTATGGGTTTGCCATGTGCAAGACAATAACTAATATAACGAATAAACTGAATTGGTAATAAAACATATGTTTACATTGTAATAGATTCACCAGGAAAAGTAGTGGTAGCCTTACAGCACAAAATAAAAATTCAAAGTAGGTACATTAAAGGTGTTAATATATCGACCAGACACTAAAAACCAAAGGAAAGCCAACATGAACACTCAAAGATAATCCGACGGCAAACTTACAACTTCAGTTACATCACTGTGAAACAACCTTTATAAAACGCGTTATAATAATGTATATACGTTACAAGAGTGAGGTTCCGGAGGCGAGCGTGAGGTTTTTATCGTTGAGCACATATACTACATAAAATACAAGAGGCCCATAGGGCCTGTATCGCTCACCTGGATATCTAAGCAATCATGGCAGAATATTCTCCAAATGAGGTCCATGGGAATATGCCAGACCCCAAGGCCAATCCTTGTAGCATATATATCTGTATTCGATTGTTCATGCCCAGCAATTTTATGTATGGTTATGGGGTGTGGATCTCAACTGTTTCCAATCTGTGACTCAGAAACTAGGTCCCTATGATTGTGGCCAGACCCCAGGATCAATTCTAATATCATGACTGCATTTGTCTCTTTTTGCACAGCATTTGTATATATAGTTTTGGGGTGGGGATCTCAACCGTTTCAAAGTTATGACCCAGGGGTTAAGTCTGCAAGGGTGGGGCAAACCCTGGGGTCAATTCTAATATCATGACTGCATTTGTCTCTTTATGCCCAACAATTGTATATATAGTTTTGGGGTGGGGATCTTAACCATTTCAAAGTTATGACCCAGGGGTTAAGTCTCCAAGGGTGGGGCAGTCCCCAAGGCCATCCTGGAAGCATATGTGCATTCATCTCTTTGTAATCGGCAATTGTCTATATGGTTATAGGGTGGGGATCTCAACTGTTTCCAAGCTGTGACTAAGAAACTAGGTCCCTAGGGGTTCGGTCAGACCCCAGGGTCTATTCTAATATTGTGACTGCATTCGTCTCTTTATGCCCAGCATTTGTATATATAGTTTTTGAGTGGGGATCTCAGCCGTTTTAAAGTTATGGCCCAAGGACTATGTTTCCAAGGGTGGGGCCAGACCCTAGGGCCATCCTGGAAGCAAATGTGCATTCTTCTCTTTATACTCAGCAATTGTATATGTGGTTATATGGTGGGGATCTCAACCATTTCCAGGCAATAAACTTTTTTTGGCCCCACCCCTTCGCCTGGGGGGTCAGCCCCACCATTTGTACAATTTTGAATCCCCACCACCTAGGGATGCTTCCAGTCTAATATGGTTGATATCCATCACTTAGTTCCAGAGAAGAAGTCGCTTAAAGCAATATAGCCAAATAACCCTTTTTGGTCCCGCCCCCCAGCCCCCAGGGGGGTCAGCCCCACCATTTGTACAATTTTGAATCCCTGCATCCCATGAATGCTTTTGATTAAATATGATAGATATCCAGTGCATAGTTCTACAGAAGAAGTCGTTTGTAGAAATAAAACCAAATTACCCTTTTTTTGCCCCGTCCCTCAGCCCCCTGGGGGGTAAGCCCAACCATTTGTACAATTTTGAATCTCCACAACCTAGGGATGGTTCCAGTCTAATATGGTTGATATCCATCACTTAGTTCCAGAGAAGAAGTCGCTTAAAGCAGTTTAGACAAAAAGCCCCCTTTTTGCCCCGCCCCTCAGCTCCCTGGGGGGTCAGACCCACCATTTGTACAATTTTGAATCCCCACCACCTATTGATGCTTCCAGTCAAATTTAGTTAAATTTCAATCAGTGGTTAAGAAGAAGAAGTCGTTTAAAGAAATTGTTGACGGACGGACGGACGGACGGACGGACGCCACTATATGGCATAAGCTCACCTTGGTCCTTTGGACCAGGTACGCTAATAAAGTACAGCTAACCCACATGGTCAGAGCATGGCGGTAACTGAAGAGTGAAGTAGACAATACAGTATTTCCTAGAAAATGAAAATTGATATGAAATGTGCATGCCTGTCGTGACACAAAATACAACTTCTCTTTTGCTGAAATTATAAGGGACACATTATTTACCTGCAAAACGCATGCCACGTGT